GTAAAAGGGACGACAAAAGTCCACGGCGCGTTGCGATTAACTGAAACAACCGACTCGACAATGGAGTAATCAGCGAGCTTTTCGACGCCACTGTCGCCTCCTCTCGACTACCCTCTTGCCGTCCCAACCCTCTGCCTCGGCTTCCAACCCCTTCCTCGCGGGGCGCGTTTGTTGTCGCTTCAGCAATCACCGCGATCATGTCCTGCTTTGTCATATCGTATTGTTTTCGCGATTGCGCGCTGATTTTTACGCCCCGTAATTGGATGAAACTTAAGTCATTAAATAAACGATGCGTCTTTTCCGCTCGTCAAAATTAGGACTTTATGCTGAAACTGATATTTTCATATTTGTCAATTTGCTAACCTGGAAAAATATTTTTAATGTAAAATCCACGATACTTTACCTAATTATGAAGAAAAGAATTTTCATGTTACGTCAAGCACTGCTTTCTACTAAACTTATGGCTCTTATTGTCGGAAAAATTTGACAGAATACCCGATATATTAAATAAACGATGCATCTTTTCCGTTTGTCAAAATTAGAACTTTATGCTGAAACTGATATTTTCATATTTGTCAATTTGATAACCTGGAAAAGTATTTTTAATGTAAAATCCACTTTATATACTTTACCTAATTATGAAGAAAAGAATTTTTATGTTACGTCAAGCACTGCTTTCTACTAAACTTAGGGCTTTTATTGTCGGAAAAATTTGACAGAATACCCGATGTATTAAATAAACGGTGGTTCCTTTTCGTTCGTAAAAATGAGAACTTTATGCTGAAACTGATATTTTCATATTTAAGCAATTAAATATGTTAGAATTTTGCTAACCTGGACAAATATTTAATATAAAATCCAGCAAATTTACGATACTTAATATACCTAATCATAAAGAAAATAATGTTCCGTCAAGTACTGCTTTCCACAAAACTGATGGCTCTTATTGTTGGATTTGACAGAATACTCGATATATTAAATAAACGATTAAGCAATTACACATGTTAGAATTTTGCTAATCTGGAAAAATATTTAATATAAAATCTAACTCTAATTCACAATATTTTTCTTATACCTAATTATAAAGGAAAGAATTTTTTAATGTTACGTCGAGTACTGCTTTCCACAAAACTGATGGCTCTTATTGTTGGATTTGACAGAATACTCGATATATTAAATAAACAATTAAGCAATTACACATGTTAGAATGTTGCTAATCTGGAAAAATATTTAATATAAAATCCAACTCTAATTTACGATACTTTTCTTATACCTAATTATAAAGGAAAGAATTTTAATGTTACATCTCTACAAAACTTGTAGCTTTTATTATTAGAAAGATTTGACAGAATACTCGATATAATATATACTTAAAAGAGTGCGCAAACAATAAAGTTTTGCATACGCTCTACTAAACGGAAGTTGCTAATTAACAGGGAGAAGTGAAGGGAACGGGATGCCTTAAGGAGCCGACGATGGGAGCTCGTCGAGAAACCGAATTGTTTCATTGATGAGCGAGCATTCAGGATCGAAGAACGGGCGGAGAAGCGGGTATATTAGATGTTACGGCGTTTACGCGCTCGCAACCCTCTTTCGGACCGTGGCAGTCGATGAATGGTATAATCAGCGGTCGCGTGGCACCCCGTGCTCCACGAAAGAGAGAGTCCGTGAAACCCGTCCGCCCACTATTCGCCCTCTGATCTGTGCGTGACGTCGGAATCGCGAAAAATCACTTAGTCCGCCTCGCGTCGCGTACTTTTGTACTTCGAAAGTGTTCTTTTCTCTTCGCTCGACATGATCCAATAATTACACGCTCCTCGAGTTGAAAGCAGTTACGTAAATCAAGAAAATCGCAGATTTTGTTTTATTAATTAGATTGTATGAGAAGAATCAATAACCTGTGAGTAATAGTAATTTTAATTTTTATTGAATAATTAAGAAACTTAAACTGTGCGATTGATATATATGGTATGTCTTTTTTTAAGAAATTTTTTATAGGAAATTTCACTATGTACATATTAATATTTTTGTGGTAAATATTAATGAGAGAAACTCTTAGAAAATTCTTCCAATACCATATTGTTGTACGATTACCATGATTTTCAGGGTAAATTTGAAGAGAAGGATAGTTTTGCCAGAGAAATTTCCCAAACATCAAAAATTGCTGAATGACGTGAATGAGTTAAAAGCAGTTACGTAGATCAAGAAAATTGCAGATTTTGTTTTATTAATTAGAATGTATGAGAAAAATCAATAACCTGTGTGACTGATAGTAATTTTAATTTTTATTGAATAATTAAGAAACTTAAACTGTGCGATTGATATATAGTATGTATTTCTTTAAGAAATTTTTATAGGAAATTTTACTATGTACATAATATTTTTGTGGTAAATATTAATGAAAGAAACTCTTATAAAATTCTTCCAATACCATATTGTTGTACGATTACCATGATTTTCAGGGTAAATTTGAAGAGAAGGGTAGTTTTTGCCAGAGAAATTTCCCAAACATCAGAAATTGCTGAATGACGTGAATGAGTTAAAAGCAGTTACGTAGATCAAGAAAATTGCAGATTTTGTTTTATTAATTAGAATGTATGAGAAAAATCAATAACCTTGTGACTGATAGTAATTTTAATTTTTATTGAATAATTAAGAAACTTAAACTGTGCGATTGATATTAGTATGTATTTTTATAAGAAATTTTTTATAGGAAATTTTACTATGTACATAATATTTTTTGTGGTAAATATTAATGAGAGAAACTCTTATAAAATTCTTCCAATACCATATTATTGTACGATTATCATGATTTTCAGGGTAAATTTGAAGAGAAAATTCTCTCCGTGTAATTTTTGCCAGAGAAATTTCCCAAACCCAGATCAGAATGACGTGAAATGATCATCTAATTATTTAGAGCGGCATATACAAGCTTGGGAATTTCATGTCGATTTTGGCGTTGAATTGGCCGAAAAGAGACACACGTCGCCCCTCGCGTCGATTCTTGTCGACGACGTGCGATAAAAGGCGTTCACGCCCCGTGAATGGCAGAATATATGACGAAGAGACGAGGGCCGATAAAGGGACCCCGAAACGACAGCCGATCGCTGTATCTCGCTTATTGACGGACACCGTTGAAGAGCGAATTATTTGTGTGGTTAATAATGGGACGGCGTTGACAGTCGATCGCGCCCGCTTATCTACTCCGGAGAGTAGATGATCCTTCATTATACTCCATCCCTGCTAGATAACGATATTTGTTCTCCTGAATTGTCACCCGAAGGGAGAGAAAGAGGGTGACCGGCTATAAATTGGCGAATGACACTGTAGAAAAAGAATAGAAAATTTGACAAAATATAATTCTTTCTTCGTGTTTCGATATTTTTATCTAAAATCATATTTTACATTTTTCAGCAAAGGCTAAACTTTTGTCTTAATGTATTTCTGTCGGAATATATTTAATTGTAGATTTATGTAATTTTGGTAAATGTTTTGCACTGTTTATATTTCGTTCAACGAGAAAGTATTTTTTCTATATATATATGTATATGTTTAAAAAATTTATTCGTTTCTTTTATTTCTTCGAGATGGCACAGATTCGCTTTTCTGCGACAGATGAATATTTCTGCGCGTTCCGGAAATTCAATGGCGACGACGCAGTTCCCTCTTTATGGCAACCGAGAGATGTTGTCGCTTGCACACAGCCCCCTTGTCTCGTTTTATACCTTCTCTTTTTATCGCTTTTATCATTCGAGACGTCATCCAACTTTCCTCCCTCGTTGCATCCCGGCCAGCTTTTTCTCTCTTTCTCTCCCTCGCTCGTTCTGCAAAAAGACACTACCGCAACTGATAAGATTTATTATAAGACTCGTCTCTTATGTTCGCTTTTCACGCTTGTGTATTTTTGCAGCGGACAAAGCGAGAAAAGAAATTTCTCGCCTGATGACAAAAGTGGCGACTGATCGATGAACGCATCAGCTACGTCATTTTATTCTCAACTTTTTATTTCTCAGATTTTTCTGCAGTTCTCGGTTCTTTCAATATTTCAATATTTTTGTATAAAGTTTCTAATTAAAAATTTCAGTAACATAGTGAACAAATAATTACATCGTAATACGCATTTCATAGAAAATGTCATACACTGACTGAGAGTTCTAGGAAAACCCGAGATATACGTTGATATACGTTGATTTTCTTTTTATTTATTAAAAAGAAATCCTAGTTTATAATTACATAATTAAATTTAACGTGTTATCAAAAGTAGACTTTGACATTTAATAGAAAGAATTCGAAGCTCCCTAAAATATTTGAAGAACTCCTGATACTGCAGACTTGAATGTCTTCCTGCCTCGTCAGTTTAGAAGTATATCAATAAACGGGATGCATTCAACTGCATAAATAATTAAATTAAACAATTGAACGCGTTTATAAAAGATTTGACATTTATTCCAAAGAACTAAAAGCTTCCTAAAATATTTTGAAAGTCTCCTAATTATATGCACTCGTCTTTCTGCCTCCCTTAATCGACATTGTCTTTAGTAGAATATCAATAAACCGGATGCATTCAACTGTCTAAACAATTGAACGCTTTTATCAAAAAGAATTCGAGCTTCCTAAAATATTTGAAGGGTCTCCTGATACTGCACTCGAACGTCACTTTGCCTCCCCTAAACGTCATTGTCTTTGATATAGTATACCAATAAACCGGATGCAGCTGACTGACCGTGGACGGAAGGCGGAGAGATCAGAAAGGCAACGGCGGCGCGATAATCCGCGACAAACGCACCCACGCCTCGCGACCTCGTTGTCTTCTCTTCGCGAGAGTGTGTGTACACTCGACCAGGTGGGAGACAGACCTCTCCACCTGTTGCGCGAACCCTCGTATCCGTCGCGGACCGCCATGTCGACTCACCCGCCAATCGACAATCGCCCATTGGCCCGACGAAATAGTGGGAGCCGCGATTCCGCGTCCGATTGGTCCGCGGCCAATCTTTTCTCCCCCGTATCCTACAGGAGTCGCGCACGGCGGCAGAAGAGTCGTCGGGTTCGTCCCAGATGTGCGATCCGAAAAGTTCCCGTGGAGTGCTAGTCAGTATACCTAGAGCTCGTGTTCGTCAGACATCACATCAGGTCCGAGCAGGAGTGCAGAATCTCTCCCCGGGTTGAAGAATTGTGACAATTAAGGGAAAACACTGAAGACGCGATTGTTTTTCTTCACTATTGGAAGAACCGAATTTTATATTTCATTGATTGTGAGATTCCCCAAAGACGTCGCATCAAGAAGTCAACAAAAGGATCCAGTGATCATCGATAGACGACCGTATATAATTTTCTACGAAAGCGAGTCTGACAGGAGTTGGATGATTTTAATGTTCTTCCCGAAACAGCTGATGAAACAACTCTAAGATGTGCACGATTTTAAGAAACGTTGCCGTCGGTCGCGATTGTGGCATACAATTGATTTGTTAATTATAAAACCAGTCTAGTCTTCGCAAGATAGTATTGCGATAAATAGAATTATTTTTCGGAATATACTTACTATAGAAAATTATCATAAAACTTCAAGATATCTTTTAACTCTCAACACCACCTTCAGCAGTGAATGTGAATTTAAAACTTGGAGAACAGATTTATTTAATTAAAAAATAGTTTTTAACAGCGGTTTTTATCTAAAGAGACGATCATGTATAATCATTTCCGAGCCTTCAACGACAAATATATTTAGGAAATATCTGAAATATTTGGAACCGAAAATCTACAAACATATTTATGTTTGAAATCCTTGAGGAGAAGGTCACCAACAGAATGTTACACGCAGAAAGTTATCTTACCCACGTAAGATAGACAGGATCTATCTAAGAAATGTTGTGATGTATATGTGAGAAAAACAATTAGAAATCAAACGCAGCGATACCGGAAGAGAACGACTCATGGAGATGTCGTCCAAGACTTTACATAACGAGCACATTAAGCGACCTATGAACGCCTTTATGGTATGGTCGCGTGGTCAACGACGTAAAATGGCACAGGAAAACCCAAAGATGCACAATTCGGAGATCTCGAAGAGACTCGGCGCCGAGTGGAAACTCTTAACCGAGAGCGAAAAACGTCCTTTTATTGACGAGGCAAAAAGATTAAGGTGAGCTTGCCAAATAAGAACTTGAACGGAGACTGTTGGTCAAAGTGGTTCAAAAAACACATGTCGGTATTGTCTTTCATTTCTGGGTTATATGTATATTTCCCAATTGGATCCGTTGTTGTCTGCTTAGTCACTGATTTTACTACTTTTTTCTTCATTTCAAATGTAAAAAATGATACATGAATCAATGATGGATTTTGTAGAGGATACAATTTCAACAAGCCAATATTTTAATAATAATTTGCTTTTATATAAACTGCGCTTTTAAACATTTACATCATACATATCTGTAGTCTAATTATTTAGAAATTTTTAAATATAGTTTTTTTTTTTTTTTTAATATTCTATTATATTACCAGAAAGAAAGCTGTTGACGCGTTATTAAAAAAAATGTATTATCTTATAGAGTAAATTGATACACGGAGAGAATTTCCTCTTAGAATTTTTTAGAAGAGTTTTATAAGAGTTTCTCTGATTAATATTTACCACAATAAAAATATTAATATGTATATAATAAAATTCGAGTATATTTTATATCTTATTGTGGTAGACATTAATATTTTTATTGTGGTAAATATTAATCAGAAGAGCTCTTATAAAATTCTTCCAACACCATATTGTCCCAGGATTATCATGATTTTTAGGATAAATTTTCTCTGTGTATAAACCATATTATTATATGAGTTCTCTATTTTGCAACGTATCCACAAATAAAAAATGCAGAAGACGGAGCGCTAAATTTGCGGTATTTTTCGCTCGGCTTTTTTCATAGCCGGCACTAATTGCTTTTCAGTCAGCAATACTCCAGCGAGATGATTGCGTTGATCGAAGGGAGGCTCCGTATCGGCAGATATTGTGGGGATCGGAAACGGCGGGAAAGCGCGCCACGCGATCGTCTCGTACTTCATAATACAGTACATTGTTGCCGAGGAGCTTAGGGGCGTGCTACGAGTTGAATTAGGGTGAGACGGGGTCCGGTATTTATAGAGCGGGGGAGACTCTCTTTATTACCAACCCTGAATATTTAATCACTGTTATGAGTTTATTTAGCTCGCCGGAGCCGATTTTTCGAGCCCGACGCGCTCTTAAAACAGCCCTTCCCTTTCTCTCCCCTTTTCCACCCCCCACCCTCCTCTTTTCAAAGAGACGCCGCAATCTCGCGAGAACCTTCTTCCGCCAAGAGTCCTCGTAACGTCTTGTAAGCTTTATTGAATAACATTATGCAATCTCGCGAAGAAGGGGATTAATTTTAGGAGATCAATTAGTATGTGCAATAATGGTTTTACGGAAACTTTGATAAGTAATTTGATATTGTTCCAAACTTTGTTGTTTATTAATTTTTCGAAGTTTAGATTGTTGGATATATTAAAGTAAAATGACTCTTTTTGATTTATCTCAGTTTGTGACATTTTTTTTTATTCAGTAATTTGAGTATTGCATAAATAATTGCACTAAATATTGTGGTTTCATATTGTTCCAAACTTTGCTATTAATTAATTTTTCAAAATTTATATTGATCGACATTTGACGATATTATATTAAAGTAAAATGACTCATTCTGATTAAATAATAATTGCACCAAATATTAATAATATTTTAATTCTTCTTCTATATGCGTTATTTCCCAGTTAACACGTCAATTTTTAACTATTCTCCAGTATTTTTCAATTATTTCATCCGGTTTTAATTTCTTAAAACAAACGAGATAGAGTGTTAAGTACCTCGTCACTGTCTCTTGATGATATATTATTCAATGATTGGAATAAAAATCTCTCGAGGTTAAAAGGAGCGGGAAAGGAATAGGTTTGCGTGCAGATTAAATTTGAGAACGATCTCGTCTCGGGGAACAAGATTTAAACTGATTCCGCGCTCTAACCCCGTGCCCGCGTTGCAAAATATCCCGACCTCGATTTACATTTCTCCCCGTCGGGAGAGAGAGAGAGAGAGAGAAAAAAAGGAGGAAATGGAAGAAAGAGAGCGAGGGATGTTTTGCGACGGGATGCCGTTGAAATTTTTCGGTGAGACCGCGACGTCGTCCTTATAAATAAATTGCGGTTGCATTCGCGCAAGTGCAAAAAATAGGCAATCGCGAAAGATAATCAAACCTTTCCTCTCTTCGTGTATGCGACGTAAATTATCACATCTCGATTGATCCCCTTCGATTTTATGATATATATAGTAACTTTGTCAATAAATTTCAAGAAAACAGCTCAGTTTCTAAGATAAATTCTCGGCAAAGATTTGCATTAAATTGCGCATCGCAATTTTTTCATTTAATTTTTTACAAGTATAGGATTATCATATACGTATATATATTTTTCTTAGATATCAAAGTTAATAATCTCGATTAATCCGATTTTTATTAACTGTCAATAAATTTCAAGAGAGCAACTCAGTTTCTAATATAATAAATAATTAATGTGAATAAAATAATAAATATCAATGTAAATAAATAAATAAATAAATAAATACCTATACATTCTCGACAAAGATTTATATTAATTTTTACATTGCAACTTTTTTACTTAATTTTACGTTATTGGATTGTCATACATATATTTTTATTAGATATCAAAGTTAATAATTCCGATTAATCCCTTCTATTTCAATTAACTTTGTCAATAAATTTCAAGAAAAAACAGCTCAATTTTTAATATCCATTCTCGGCAAAGATTTGCATTAATTTACACATCGCAACTTTTTTCCTTAATTTTTTTACGTGTATAGGATTGTCGTACATATATTTTTATTAGATGTCAAAGTTAATAATTCCGATTAATCCCTTCGATTTCAATTAACTTTGTCAATAAATTTTAAGAAAAAGCAGCTCAATTTTTAATATCCATTCTCGGCAAAGATTTGCATTAGTTTGCACATTGCAACTTTTTTACTTAATTTTTTTACGTGTATAGGATTGTCGTACATATATTTTTATTAGATGTCAAAGTTAATAATTCCGATTAATCCCTACGATTTCAATTAACTTTGTCAATAAATTTCAAGAAAAAACAGCTTAATTTTTAATATACATTCTCGGCAAAGATCTGCATTAATTTGCACATCGCAATTTTTTTACTTAATTTTTTTACGTGTATAGGATTGTCGTACATATATTTTTATTAGATGTCAAAGTTAATAATTCCGATTAATCCCTACGATTTCAATTAACTTTGTCAATAAATTTCAAGAAAAAACAGCTTAATTTTTAATATACATTCTCGGCAAAGATTTGCATTAATTTGCACATTGCAACTTTTTTACTTAATTTTTTTACGTGTATAGGATTGTCACACATATTTTTATTAAATATCAAAGTTAATAATTCCTATTAATCCCTTCGATTTCAATTAACTTTGTCAATAAATTTCAAGAAAAAGCAGCTCAATTTTTAATATCCATTCTCGGCAAAGATTTGCATTAATTTGCACATCGCAACTTTTTCACTTAATTTTTTTACGTGTATAGGATTGTCACACATATTTTTATTAGATGTCAAAGTTAATAATTCCGATTAATCCCTTCGATTTCAATTAACTTTGTCAATAAATTTCAAGAAAAAACAGCTCAATTTTTAATATCCATTCTCAGGAAAGATTTGCATTAATTTACACATCGCAACTTTTTTCCTTAATTTTTTTACGTGTATAGGGTTGTCACACATATATATTTTTATTAGAAATCAAATTTAATAAATTTTCCAGGCGATATTCTCGATGGCGCCTAAAAAAGCAAACAAAAGGCCATATTTTTCCATCGCAAAATTTCTGGAAAAGAAAGGAAAATGAGAAGGACCGGTAGAGTGGTGTGAAACCGGGCTGAAAGGGGGATGAAAGTAGGGGGAGGGCAATCCGAGGGAAATTTCGACGCGGACGTGTAACGGCGAATCCGCTTTTCTGGCGGATGGCAGCGACGTCGACGATGAGAGGAGGACGGCGGTCGTAAAATAAAAGGGGGAAAACGTGAAAGGGGTGCGCGCGGCAGAGGGTGGGAGGGGTAGTAGGGGGATGAAGTCGTTCCCTTGGAGCGGAGGCGTCGTCGTATAGGAGCCGGGTTCCCTTGGACCCGCGCCGTCACTGGCCCGACGTAATCTGTCCGTTCGTTCACGGCGACTCACAATGTGGCCCCCGAGATAACAAATAAAGCCCCATTGTCGCAATTGTGTGGATTTAAAAGGATTTGCCCGGCTTCTCCGCACCTCCGCATCGCCGCCGCCGCCGGTCGCGTTCAACGATTCCTCTCTCTCTTTCTCTCTTTCCTCTGCGTGTGTTCCGCAGCCTCTTGCCGATTTCTCGCTTCTCTCGCGGCGAAACGGGGCTTTTCGCGCGCTTCGATGCCGCGTATGAACGTTCTTTTGATATCCCGCCGAAAAATCGACCGATTTATACAGGGTGTCCGGTAACTAACGGACCAATTACAAATGGATTCTTTGGTCAATTTGGGAACGATTTTTCCTCGGCGAAAATGTCGAGAAAGGTCATCATCTTTTACAACTTTCCAATATTTGTCATTACGTATCTTTATAACTAAGTCTCAAATTAAAATTTTATTATAGTAAACTTTACCTGAAATTAACTGAAGAATGTAATTATGTTAGACTTTTAACTCCAAAACGTTTAGTTTTCGAAAAACCCATTTTTTTCAATTGTTTATAACTCGAAAATTATTGACTTCTCAACATTTTTGCTAAGGAAAAATCGTCTCCAAATTGGCCAGAGAATCCGCCCTTAATCATTGGTCCGTTAGTTACCGGACACCCTGTATACGGCTAAATTATGGACGATCCCGATTTCATTAATCGAGGGGATTTTATATCGAACACGACGCATAACAATCGCGCGAGATGAGAATCGCTTGTTTAGCTGAAAAGCCGATCGATAGCAATTACTCGAATTTTGGAATCTATAAAAAATTTTATCCGCTTCAGCGAAAATGTGAAAATCGAGAAGCCGGTTAACTGCAAATATTCACATTACGAAATGACATATCGCTATCTTCGAAATAAAAAAAAAAATACAAAATACACTGTAAACAAATATGTAATATATTACACAAAAATATGTAAAATTACATAAATAATAAGTGTGAAATTACACGATGGATAATACAAAGTTTTACCTTTTCATTATTTATCATGTAATTTTCCATTTATTATTTATGTAATTTTACATACTGCAAATATTCACATTACGAAATGACATATCGCTATCTTCGAAATAAAAAAAAAAAAAAATACAAAATACACTGTAAACAAATATGTAATATATTACACAAAAATATGTAAAATTACATAAATAATAAGTGTAAAATTACACGATGGATAATACAAAGTTTTACCTTTTCATTATTTATCATGTAATTTTCCATTTATTATTTATGTAATTTTACATATTTTTTTCCAGTGTACACATGATGATGTATATGTTAACTGCAAATATTCACATTACGAAATGACATCGCTATTTTCGAAATAAAAAAAAAAAAAAAATACAAAATACACTGTAAACAAATATGTAATATATTACACAAAAATATGTAAAATTACATAAATAATAAGTGTGAAATTACACGATGAATAATAGAAAGTTTTACCTTTTCATTATTTATCATGTAATTTTCCATTTATTATTTATGTAATGTTACATATTTTTTTCCAGTTACACATGACGATGTATATCACTGACTCTCCCGAAATAAACTCTCGCGATGAAACGCGATTAAGTGTCCGTCTCCGCGAATAGCGCTTTCGGCGTTGGCGCACGGCATTCCAGTGACAATCGTAACTAATTGTTATTGTTCCTTGTCGCGACGCGGCGAGCTTATGTCGCGATGGGGGATGATATAGCGCGTTGTTTATCGGCCGCCAGGTGGGCGGAATTGTAAAGATTACGGGCCGATGTTTATGCATTTATGCTGAGTTATTGTCGGCGCGGCTTTACCGATGTTTATGCTGATTTACGCTTTGTGCTATCTGCCGGGACACATTGTCCCCGGAATTATTATTCCGCGGTCGCGACGCTGTTCGCGCCCCCACCCCCTTGAAATTCCAAATTTCCGTGTCCGAAAAACTTTCCCGCCCCTATGCGCTTGCCTCGAATCGAGTAATCTAGCGCGCGGATTCTCAAAGGGTTTCGCGATCGTTATTTATCGTTGCTCTAATACTCGAATTTAATCCAAAGGAACAAAGATCAGAATTTTCTTATATAATATTACAAGGTGTCTAGCGGTCAGGGAAATCGGGTATTCTCAGGGAGTTTTTTATTAAATAAAAATTTTTTATTAAATAAATATTTTATTAAATAAATTATTTTTTCCAAATATATAATTTGCGTAAATCTATATTATAAATCAATTAAATGTTAAATCATCAAATCCTTGAGATATTTTTGCCAACAATGAAAAGGTTCGGAAGTTAAAAAAACAATATATATATATATATGCAAGTTATATATATTTGGGAAAAATAATACTAAATAAATCTAAATAATACTAAAAAAATAATACCAGATAATACTAAAAAAGAAAAAATTAATTTCTGGGGTCTTGGAAAATCTGAAAAAGTCGGGGAATTTTTTTCATCGAGTCTGCTGGACAGCCTGTATTATATTTCAAAAATTATACAAAAATCTGGATAATGGTTGTCGTGGCCAACGATAATAATAAAATTTGATTTTCGCGGAATATATATTTATAATTGTAATTATTATAACGGCGTGAAATTTTTTTGACGTTTCTTATCGTCCCGACAAATTTTTTCGCGACGCTCATTGTACAAAAAGAGAAAAGAAAAAAACGAACGCGGTGTGTGCCCACGTATCTCCACCATCCTCCCCTTTTTTTATCTTCACGAGGTGAGGCATAAATAAGCACTGCGTTTGTGCTCCTCTTGGGTATATAATGGAGTATTATGTGTCGGAGATACCGCTGCTCCTTCCTCTCTTTCTACGTCGCGCGAAGACGAGGGCGAGGTATGTGTGTACAAGATACCTTACCTTAGCACAAATATCTATGGTACCCCGTGTTGTATCCCGAGACTGCGATAATACGTCCCATTGTGCGCGAGACGGCGAGAGCACAGTTTACTAAAATTGTGAAAAGGTGGTTATTTCTGCGATAATCGATCGAGACCGTCGCGGTGCAGAAAACGTGAATAAAAATGTACGATAAAAAAAAAAGAATGGCACGGGTTTCACATCTCGTGAATGAAATACAAATATGCAGGATACATCCCCGACATTTCACGGTTAGTTTCGCTTTTCGAGAGATATTTGTTTGAGATTTAATTTCACGGACTTTCTATGAAAAAAAATGGATTCTCGTATCAATGTAAAAGATTTGAAAAGATCTCGATATATAATAATGAAAACAATATGTGGATTTTTGCCCAAAGGACATTAAATTAATGACTCTTGCGATCGTGGGATGGTCACGGGATTATATTGTAGACCCAACGCAAGCTAAACTACCACTGCGTTTCCAGTTGCGAAACTATTCAATTAAGCTCCCGCCTTCCGAAAAGCGCGTGGAACCCTTCTCGACTATCCCTTTCCCTTTGCTGACGCATAACGATGTCGATTTCAGCAACGTTATCTGCCGTAACGACGAGCCTCCGCGAATCTGCGCGAAAATTGGGCTGAACAAAGTTAAAGAGAAATTATATGAACTTTATATGAACACCGTCTTCTGTATATATTTTTTAATTTTAATCCATAAATATTTTATGTATCATTACATTTTTATATTTTATATACAAATAAAATCTAATATAAAAATTAATATATTAGATTATATTAAAAAATTAAGGATTGCGACAACAGCAGAACACGTAAAACAGGGTGTCTAGCGGTTAGGGAAATCTGGAAACCGGGTATTGTCAAGGAATTTGATAAATCTGAAATTGTCAGGGAAAAGTCAGGAAATTTTATTATTTATCTGGATTTTTTCGCTACTTTTTCTATTTTTTTCGCCAGTACACTAATTTTCTGTGTTGTATCGTTAATTTATTTATTTTCATCCTCGCTATATTTTATTTCAATGTATTCTATATTTCAAAATATATTATAACATTGCTCAAGAATTATAATATTGTTCAAGAACTTTATTTTAATTCATGGTTTTATTAAAAATTAATGTATTAATTTTCTTAAAAATGTTTTATTTAAAAGTTGATATTAGATACCATTAAATATATTACAATATATGTATTACAATTTGTTAAAATAAATTAAAAATAAAATTCGATATAATATAAATAAAAAAGGTGATCATTTAAATAGTTTATAGTAACACGTTTGTTTCAATTAATTATCGTACACAATGCATAATTGTAATTGACTTAAACTTTTTTGTATTACACGTGCAGGCAAAGTGGCACTTTGTGTGCGTGTTTTCTGTGCGGAAAGCGGCCGATTTCCCACGCCGCCGTCGCAAGATGGCGGCGTGCGATCGGCCACCTCGCGCACAGAAAACGCGCACAAAGCCACTTTGCCTGCACTTGTAATACAAAATATCACTCGTGACCAATTGTCAACTTTCCGCACTTGATACACAATATACTATTTAAATTCCGAACCGTTTCATTGTTAACAAAAATATCAAGGATTTCACGATTTAACATTCAATTGATTTATCAAATGGAAATGGGATCGATTGAAAGATCTGAAAAGGTCAGGGAATTTCGTTCGTTGAGTCTGCTGGACACCCTGATAAAAGAAACGCAAATAGATTTCCAGCGCCAAATTACAGTCCATTTACCGTCTACCTTCCAGAGCTCTTCACATGAAAGAGCACCCCGACTACAAGTATCGGCCGCGTCGGAAGCCAAAGTCCCTGGTGAAGAAGGAGAACAAGTTCGGCTTCACGATAACCCCGTTGATATCGCCCGGCGACGGCCTGTCGAGTCTACCACGTGGTCTTCTGCCACCTCTGGCGCCGCCCGCGCATCACTCGTTGATGTCGCACGAGGACTTGAAGATCCCGCGTTTCTTCCCGCCGTTTCCCTACCCGCTCTATCCGCTGCAGCACAAACTGGGCGATGACTTGAACGGCGGCAAACTGGCCGCCGATCTGGCTCTTCAGGCTCTCTACACCGGCGGCACCTTCTATCCAAGCCATCAGACAATAGCGTCCTGGCCGACGGGTCTGTCGGCGGCCGCTTGCCTGCAACCCAACTGCAGTTGTCCAAGTCCGCCGAAGGAGCCGAAGAGGCCGTTTCCGTCGTCCAAGATGGACGATCCACCTTTTCCGAGCCCGGCCAGGGCTGACGATGACACCGTTATCGCGGAACGAGAAGAACCCAGGTACAGCCTGGAAAGGCGTCACCATCATCACCATCAGCATCTTCATCAGGAGGATCGCTCCCAGGATCGCTTCTCCTCGTCCTCGTCCTCTTCTCCGCCCACGGAGCAGCCGGAAAAATCCTCGACGACGACGACGACGACGACGTCTTCTACGTCGGTCAACAGAATCGACAACGCTCCGTTCTCCGTTCAGAGTCTAACGTCGAGCAGTTCGAATTCGGGCTCGCAGCGCGGACACATCATATGAAGACCGCTTCCGGTTCTCCCGGATCTCAACTTCCGGGGGAACCTGGTGCCGGCCACGTGGCCGGCCGCTGATTGGTGGAGAGTGGCTCCGATGCTCTCGCCGATTCCCCAGACGACGGTCGCGAATCTGAGCACCGGCGTCATCAAGGAGGACGTCGGCCACTTCCAGGACGAGCAGAGGAACGCGACGATCGTGTCGAGATCGCCGAGAAGTGGCGTCCACATCGCCAACGTGCAATGATTCATTTGCAATAATGATCGAGGTGGCGGAGGACGCTTTCAATCTTCGGTATCTTTCTATGTTTCATACGTCCCGTTGAGCCATCTTCAAATCAAAGAACTATTCAAACCAGTTTCGTTTTATATAACTTCGGACACATCTCTCGTAGTCTACAACTAGTGAAAATAATTGTGTATAATTGAAGTGCTCTCCAAAAAAAAAAAAATATATATATATATATATATATATATATAGATCGATCGCGTCTAAATAAGTTCGCGAAATAACTTGCGCCGGAAGCGCATTCTGGCGAACGAGAGACTGGAATCGATAACTCGCTACGGCCCCGAAATCCCACAAAGGACGACCGCAAAGGGTCCCTTCGACCGGATCGTGCACGCGAAGCTGGATACTAGAGGAGTCCAATTTTGATGAGATAACCAACCCTCTCTCGCATGCACCACATATTACGAGGAAGGGGAAGAAGAGAGTTGGGGGATGGACACGGAAGGAGAGAAGAAAAAAAGCTCTTCTGGCGGAGGCAAATCTCTTCTTTGGGACGCGGCCGTGCGAAATAAGCCAAACGTTCTGAATGCTAACGTACGAGACGCAACGTACCCCCGACGACGCGACGCCCCGGTTTTCGTTGTATTCGAAACGGTTTTCGCGACGAGAAAAGCATCGATACGAGCCGAAATGGGAGACGCGTGGCTGACTATGGCTGGTTGGCTGCGAGCACAGTAGCTGAGAATTCTTTTCTAATACACGGGAAAGAAGCCGGAAAGACATTTCCCCGAAGGGTTGTCAAAATATATCTCGTTCTATTTCACGAAAGATTGATTTCGTCAATATTATATATATATAGTCAGATTGTTGTCTTGCCTGAACAGAATGATTTTATTCGATTGAATTTTTTCAATTTTGTAGAACGTTGTTTAAAATGTTGTTTATTTGTTTAACGACTCGTTTGTTGATTCATTTAATATTTCGATAATGAATTGAAAAGACTATGATATATATAAAAAGAATTAATAAGAGCCAGTAAAGTGTTTTTCTCTAATTATTTCGTATAGTTGTAAAGAGGAATACGATTATAGAGGAGAAATAATTAAGAGAGAAATTAAAAACATGTTTATTTCGTGGAACATCTGCTAATTTCTGGCTATTATAAATTCTTTTTATATCTAATTTTTCGACAATTCGATTGACATAGAAATTAATGCACATTGGAATATTAGATACGCACGATCTCGTTTTCTTATATTAATGACGATTCTATTGTTGACTGTTGAGGGTGAGTTGTAATTATCGCTCATTCGTCGAGAGAAATCCGTCGATTGCACCTTCTTGTATAATAGAAATTCCCCGCTAATTATCTTTAACGACCGTAGCGAGCACGAATTTTGCATTAGCATGTAACCCTAAAAAAACGGGAGTAAGAATGCAAGTAAACGTAAACCATATCTATAAAAAAGCATGTAGAAACATATCTCTTCCGTCTCTCTTTCTTCTCATTTTCTTTTTCTCACGCAAAATTTTACAAGCACATATTGACGCTTCGATTAATTTGGATTAATCTAACGCGGATGTGCGTTACATTAATCATCGCCTCGACGATTACGATACTATTGTTAATTATTGCTGTAATATATAATGCAACGTTTGTAAATAAATCTTGATCCGAATTGAAAAATACTTTACGTGCGCCCCCCTTAACCCCCCCTTAATTTCCTCGCTTCTCTCAAGAGATCATTTATTAATATATGTAGTAAAAAAATTTTTTATACAATTGTAATTATTTTTGCATAATTCGTTATCAAACCCCTTCCGCCCCCCCTTGACCCCCCATCATTTCCTCGCTTCTCTCAAGAGATCATTTATTAATATATGTAGTAAAAAAATTTTTTATACAATTGTAATTATTTTTGCATAATTCGTTATCAAACCCCTTCCGCCCCCCTTGACCCCCCATCATTTCCTCGCTTCTTTCAAGAGAATTATTTATTAGTATACACAGTAAACATTTTTTTAAAATTATAATCGAATTATTTTTGCATAATTCGTTATCAACCCCCGTCCCCTTTGACCCCCCATCATTTCCTCGTTTCTCTCAAAAGAATTATTTATTAGTATACACAGTAAAATTTTTTTCTAAATTATAATCGAATCATTTTTGCATAATTCGTTATCAACCCCCATCCCCCCTTGACCCCCCCATCATTTCCTCGTTTCTCTCAAAAGAATTATTTATTAGTATACACAGTAAAAATTTTTTTAAATTATAATCGAATTATTTTTGCATAATTCGGTATCAACCCCCGTCCCCCATTGACCCCCCATTATTTCCTCGCTTCTCTCGAGAAAATTATTTATTAATATATGTAGCAAAAAAATTTTTTATAGAATTATAATTAAGTCATTTATCAAATTCTCCGTCCCCCTTTGACCCCCCCCCCCCCAAATATTTCCTCGTTTCTCTCAATGAAATCATTTATTAATATATGTAATAAAAAATTTTTTATAGAATTGTAATGAAGTCATTTTTGCATAATTCATTATCAAATTTCCCGTCCCCCCTTGACCCCCCATAATTTCCTCGCTTCTCTCAAGAAAATTATTTATTAATATCCATAGTAAAAATTTTTAAAAATTATAATCGAGTAATTTTTGCATATTTCGTTATCAAACCGAATCAAATATTATAAAGTCTAATAAACTCGGGTTATCGCAAGACTAATACCCCATGCGAGTAGATATGAATGTTTCTCACGCTATCCTCGAAGTTGCGAGGAAAAGCCGCGAAATTAATCGGGCGAGGGCGAAGAGAAAATCTCGAGGGCAAGGTAAAGTTTCCTCCTCCGTACTTCCCCATCTCTCTCCGCGGAACCCTCGGCTCGTCGTGTTTTATTTCTGATAGCGACGCCTCCGTCGCCGCCGCGGAGACATTATCGCCACCGCAAAGGACCCTTTCTTCCCCCATAAAGGCAATCATGCTTTCTCCGCGGCGAGATAACGGCGAGAATGGCGGCCGGGAGAACGGTTTCCAACCGCGGCACGTTCCCTCCTTCCTCCTTGACAATCAGTGGAATTTTGCTCGCGATCGATCTCGCGAAGGAATTGATAAATTCCTAGAGATTCTCTCAAAAAATATTTGACATAACGATGACAACGCAAGTTGTCTAGATGTTTCTTTTTATTTTTTTTTCTCAAAAAGTGAAAAATTTTAAAATATATATCGCGGGATAAATTTCTCGAATCCATCTCTCAATCCAAAATCCATTCGATTCTATTCAGAATCCATTCCATTCTGTCCAGAATCGTGGAGTGTCATTCGGAGTAACTTCTGTTGGGTTACACGAAGACGAGGGAGCTGGTAAGTTTTACGGGTGACATACACAAAGACGTGGAAAGAGGACGAGCGACAGGGGAGCAGCAGCGGAGCAGCCACTACCCTCTGACCAAAGAGAAGTCTAGGTGCCACTCTCCATTAGTATGCGCGGAAGTATGCCGTGCTCGATTGTGGCGGGTATTGTCGTCGAAGAATGTCCTCGTTGCGCGTAGCTCCGCAGCCTCCGGACGGGCTCCCTGTAAGGAGAGACGTAAAGCGAATTCGAGTGAAATGTAATCACTCCCCGAAAGAGAGAGAGGGAGCGCGAACCAAGAGAGAGAGAGAGTGATTCCAAAGTATAGTTCATTCGACACGGAGAAAAGGGATGTAGCCCACATAACTAACAATGTCGCGTTGTTTCCTCCGTTTTAAAAAAATCTTATTTCGAAATTTAAATCCATTTTACACCCACTTCAGCGAAGTGATAATATTCGAGCGAAAATCAGATCCGACACATTTATACAGGGGGTATCTAAATCAGTGCGAGTTTTAGAAGATGATTCTTTGTCAAAAATTAAGGGGATTTTTTAAAGAGGGAGAAAAGTTCTTTCTCAAATTAAAAAATTGGAACTTGATCGATATTTTCTGATAAAGGATATTTATTCATATTAAAAAAATTGAAATTAAATTTTAAATCCTCCCACTTTAGAAAAGTGTAACTCCTCAGGGAGGGATATAAAAAAACCCTTTAATTTTCGACAAAGAATCTCTTAAAATTGTTCGCACTTATTTAGATACAGCCTGTATAATTTGTCCAAAATTAAGGGGATTTTTTAAAAAAGGAAAAAAGTTCTTTCCTCAAATTAAAAAAATGGAACTTGGTCGATATTTTCTGATAAAGGATATTTATTAATATTAAAAAATTGAAATTTAAATTTTAAATCCTCCCACTTTAGAAAAGTGTAACTCCTCAGGGAGGGATATAAAAAAACCCTTTAATTTTCGACAAAGAATCTCTTAAAATTGTTCGCACTTATTTAAATACAGCCTGTATAATTTATACTAAAATTAGCACATAACACGGGATCTCTCTCGCCGAGGAGGAGGGACGGAGAACGTTTTAATTGCGCGCGCGCTTGCTCGGTGATATCAGCCCCGCGCTTTTATGCGCGACGGTGAGAGGAGGACGCGATCGTTTGATTGCGGAAAATGACGGGCGGCGGTGGGCGCGAGTGGAAGTTTTGAGTGGGCGTCGGTCCTAGTAGACAATGAGGCATTCAGGCGCGGCATTGTGCCGACCGACAACTGCGTTACCCTAGACAAACCCGAAATCACCGGCGCTATCGCCGCTCCAGATCCGATTATGTGAATAATAAAAAGCGTGATGACAGAGAGCGAGAGAGAGAGAGAGAAAGAGAAGGGGTGGAGAACGAGAGATAGGGCGCACTAAAGGTTAATAATAGCGATGCCGCGTGGCTGACGTCTCCTTTTATCGTCTTGCAACAAACACCGGCTTTATCGCGCCTCGTATACTTTTCGCATTGCGTCGCGAGATACGCCGAAACATTTCCCGACAAATTTACAATTAACACCTTTTTTTTCTCTCTCTCTGGAAAGATGCGACAGAGAAATGCAAAAATTGAGACTTGAAAATTTTTGACATTAAATATTAATGACATTATATTTCAAAGATCATGATTATATTTAGGTACCAATTGTGTGATGTCTTTGGATTGATAAATTATTCTCTACGCTCATGTTATCGTCCCGTCGCGGGAACGGCCATGAGCGTAATTATGCATTACGTGGGGGATCGTCAAGTCTGGCCAAAGTTAGCGAACTTGGTTAATTAGGAACGGTAGTCAAACGCTGCCTGCTATTGTCCGGCGCTGTTGACTTCCGGCCTTCACGCCCGCCTGTCTCACCTAGCCCTCCTCTCCGACATCGCCCTGCTCTTCATCCCCTCTTGCTTCCCTTAGCGGAGAGAGGGGCTGCGAGGACTGATTGTTTCATTGTTTCCGACCCCACTGTCAAATGCCACCGGCCTGAATGGGGTTATTGTTGTTTCAGGCCGCGCCGCAGACAATTCTCGGGATTTTCGGGGTTCGCGTCGGGACCGACATCCGAAGCGCGATATTTTTATTAGGGACGCGTATATAGTTATTATTTTTCGCACTTTTTCTTAGGGTGGAACCGGTAGGGTGAAGCGCCACTCCTTTTTTGCTGAGAATATTCTGTAGTGTTTGGAATTGACGCGATCTCTCTTCGCCGATAATTCCCCTATCGATTTTCTCTAGAAAATGTGAAAGACAATTGAGCAACAGCAAATTATTTTAATTGTTAATTTTTTAAAAGTCAAGTTGAATTTTTAACCCTTAACTGATATTATGGGGCCAAAAATGACCCAAGAGGTGTAAAAACCAATGTTCATTTTCTTATAGTGATTGTAGAAAAGTTGTGTAATTATTAGCAGCACATCAATAAATGATTGATTGATGTCTTTGGAAGAGTGTATTGTTCCATTTAATCAAATAAATAACCTTAAAAATCTAATATCCCATTAATAAGAAAGTTTTTTTTATGTTGGGGTCTCGAATGACCCCACGATACCAGTTAAGTCAGGAAATTTGACGATACCAGTTAAGCGTTAAAAATCAAAAATAAAAATTCTCGATGATCTTACGACCTGATTGTTTAACCGATTTGAGTGTGAAATAGGGACAATCGGCGTCTTTCGTGCCTTTCGGGAATAACAATACCAATGTACATTTGTCTTCCCGGCCTGACAGAGCCGAGCCGAGTCGTTCCTCGGGTATTGCTCGCATCTCGAAAGGCGAGCGAGACCAGTAAAATACTGGCCGGGGCAACATTTCACGGATGGATCGCGCGATACGATCGTCGCATTTCCCGTGGACGCTCATATATAAGGCGAACTTATGCCGAGCGTAAATTCAGTCCGGGTTTCGAGCCCTATCTTATCGCGTCCGCGGTTTGCAAGGCGCCGATAGAGAGACCATGCTTTAGACATTATGGGAGATTGAAAAACCTGAGGAGCTTCTTTTCGCCGACCTGAGAAGCGTCGGACTTCCGGTCAACCGAGCGGCGACCGGCAACGGCGGCTCTCGATCTCTTTCGAGAGGGGACGAGAGATCGAATTCGCGGATAAGTCATCTCACGAGGGAGAACATTTTGCGTAGAAATATTTTTTTCATTTCTTTTTACGCGGTTTCCTAGACGAAAAACAGAGATTTATATTAGGATAAAGAAACTTTTTTATAATATATTGAGCTTAATAAAGATTTCTTTTTCAAAAGAGTAAACAGTAAAAAATGCCAAATAGTCTCGAGTATCAGCTGTGAAGGAATTCTTTTGACCTTTGAGGCGAATCCTTCGCAAGTCGGAGGGAAAAGAAAAGAGAGAAAGAGAGAGAGAGAGAATTGGGGAAAGGTTGGTCCATTCGCGAGACACTTCATCACGATTTAACGCCATAAAAGTCGAATAAGGTCCGAGATGCCACGTGACGCCCCGGTTGCGGATTGGAAACAAAATGTCGTAAAATATGAAGAGAGCGCGGC